AGCACTCAAGTTCAAACCCCTGAATTCCAGGGAGGATTTTGAATAGGCTGCTGTTCTTGATCATCCATGTAAGTTGTGTAGTGATTTCCTGAATTCTCTTTCCTTTATGAGCTGTGACCTCAAACTTGACCATTTTGACAAAATCCCCATGAATTTAAAAGATACTGAGGAATCCAGCCCACACAACAGCTCTTGAGCAATTAAATTTGTAACCACAAGATAACAACTCCAGCCAGGTGTGACCTTAACTGAGAAGCATTTCATTACCCCAACCGTGATAATTATTCTCTCAATAATGGGCTCAATTTATGCAAACAGACTAACATAAAGTGTAAGAAGTGAAAATGAAAAAACAGCCATCTTTATTTCCTTCCTAATGAGTTCTAGAGACGTCTGTGCCAGAGCCAAAGGCAGGGAGGTTTCTTGAGACAGTCGAGCTCTGTGCTCTCCAAGTTGTGGATCAAGACCTAGCAGCAGGCTAGGAGACAGTCTGGTATGTTGCCACCAGCCTTTACAAAAACATGAAATAGATTTCCAGTGTCAGCTCTGACATCACTATAACTTGGGAGTCTTCACCTCCATCCTTACACAAGTAAAAGGTGAACAAAGGGAACAGCAATAACTTTTCCTCAGTCTATCAGAGAACTGAGGTTTCAGGGAACTCGACCCTGAGGCCAGTGCAGACAGGTGCATCAGAAGCTACAGCTGAGAACTGTTTGCCTTGAGCAGAAGACCTTGGTGCATGGGCTTGGAGAAAGACTTCAGTGGTCATCATGGTGGCTGCTGTGGACTAATGTGAGAGTCAGAACCCCTGGGAATATAGGAGGAGGGAAGACATCTTTCCATGGCTTTCACTGTCAACAGTCCCTCCAGAATCAGATGGTAAAAGTCAGAGGAAAGCCCCCTGGTGGTTTGGAAATCAGAAAGAAGGAATTATCATTGTGGAATATTCCCAAAATGTTCTCCATAACAAACTGCTCTTCAGGAAAAAAATTTTTTTTCCAAAGTCTATTCCTAGTGGAAAAGGATATGTCTCCCATGCGAGCCCCCAAAGATCTGGAAGGAGACAAAAATTACTGTTAAGAGCCACAGCCGAAGGGGCCCCAGCAAACTTCCAGATGGCAGCAAACTTCCAGCAGCCAGCAAACTTCCAGCTGCCAGCTGATGATTGGCTCACAGCAGCCCCAGCAACTTCTAGCTGCCAACTGATTGGCTCCTCTGCGTTGATGCTCATTGGGCTGTTTCCCCGCCCTCTCAGACCATGGAGCTGCTCATTGGGGGACTTTTTTTGCCTCCGCCCATGCGACCCAGCCAATCAACCTCAAGAGCAGGAGGAGTGGGGGAGGTTGAGAGGCTTGTGGGAAGCTGGTGGTGGCAGTTGGGCTCTGAAGGTTTTTCCTGAGGAGCTGTTTTGTTTGGCGTGTGTGGTTCTAAAAATAAAGTTCGTTTCTTTGACAAGTGGCTCCTGAATTGTGCCCAGCCAGACTGTGGCAGATTACCCTTCTTTTCATGTTTACTCAACATTCTACTTGAAGTCCTTGGTAAGGCAATATGACAAGAAAAGAAAAAAAAATGTCTTTTTATTCCTAAAGAAAATATGGTTGTATATGCAAACAAACAAACAAACAATAAGAATCAACAATGATTTAGTGATTATAATAAAGCTGCAGGAGATAATGTTTACACAAAAGCAAATTGCTTTTGCATATTCCAGCATTGAAAAATCAGATTTTGAAATTTAAAATACATTATTTACATTAGCACCTCAAAATGAAACACTTAGGAATAAATCTAAATAAATATATGAGATATGTATGAGGAAAACTATAAAATTGTGATAAAAGAAATGAAAGAAAAACTAAATGAATAAAACTAGAGTCCATGCTCATGGATAGGAAAATAATGTTATTGAGATATAAATTCTTCTCAATTTGATTTGTAGATTCAAGGCAATTCCAAACAAAATCCTATAAAATTGTTTGTGGATATTGACAAACTGGTTCTAAAATTTATGCCTGACACAATACTGAGAATAATAGAGGACTGAACCTTCTCCACTTCAAGACTTACCATATGACTAGTAATCAAGCAGTATGGCAAAAGAATAAACAAATGTCAATGGAACAGAGTTACAACCAAGCAATAGATCCATTTAAGTGTAATCAGCTGATTTTTTATAAAGGAGAAGAAATGGAGAGAGTCTTTTCAACACATGGTGCTGGATCATCTGGACATACACCTTCAAGGAATGAATGTGGACACTGACCTAAGACCTTGCACAAAACTCAACTTGAAATGATTCCCAACATAAATTTAAAACACAAAACCATAAAAAATACTTTCAGTAAAAGAAGATAACAGAGAAGATTATCTAAGTAGCCTTGGGCCTGATGAATTTTCAGATATAAAACCAAAAACACAATCCTTGAAAGAAATGTTAAGTTGAAATTAACTAAAATCCACATGACAGAGTTCAAATAATGAAAAGAAAATCAGAGACTTAGAGAAAATATTTTGAAATCCACATTTTGAAACCCATATCTAATTAAACAGTTTCTTCCAAAATATTCAAAGAACACTTGACATTCATCAAAAAGATCAAAGAGTACAATTAAAATATGGTCAAAGGACCTGAGTAGGAACCTCAGTAAAAAGGGTACGCAGGTGGGCAGTAAGCTTATGAAAAGAAGTTCAACACACTGAGGTGGGATAAAGTCCTAAAAGCTATGGACTCTCATGAGTTGTGTCCTCCAAAAATTATATGTTGAAGTCATGCCCCTCAGCAGCCCACAGTGTGACCTTATCTGGAGACGTGGTCTTTGTACCAGTAATCAAGTCATTTCAATGAGATCATTAGGGTAGATCATGATCTCATACAACACAGAGACGGGCACACAGAAGGGAGATGATGTGAAGACAGCCCATGATGGTGACCTCAGGGTGATCACCTTCAAGCTAAGGACCA